AGGCATTATTTATGACCTAGAAAAAAGCATGGAGAATTTGGTCAGCACTGGTGACAAAAGTTCACTCCAAACTGTGTTTGCTTTTGTTACACACACACACACACTTTTTATGCTGATTCACATTAGAGCTGCACCCTAACACAGACTGGATTTGCTGCCTGGATAGCTACAGAAAAGTCCTTGCTAGGATAAAATCAGCTCTGTGTGGCTGTCATATACAATTCACAGATAAAACTCATCTTTCACAGCTGTCCTCCACAAAGAACTGTCATTCCACTGCCTCACCATCTCTCTAAAGTGATTAATGAAAGGCGTGGAAGAAAGGCAAAAATCCTTGGATCCCTGTGGAAAAACACACAGTAATATTCAAAGCAAGCTGCCCAAATTGTGTTACCTATCTAACAATTATCAATAGATTGTGTTATAGATTTTTTCAGGCCAATCAATTATCAATTGATTGGCCTGAAAAAAAAGTCAACTCTCACAGGAAAAGTCCTTCAAATAATCAGATCTCCTACTAGGAGTAAGAGGTCAAAAAAATTTAGTTTGAAGCAATAAAACACATTATGGAACTTAAAATTTTTATTAAAAGGTTTTATTGGACAAAAAATTTCAAGTATTCTAGGGATAAATTAGCAAAAGTGTTCCAAGATGTAGATACTGTTCAAATGACGGTTAGCTGAATAATATACTTGTCTAATATAACTATCCTTCTCAAGTTAAAGCTACTAGTTTGATATTTCAGTGTTAAATATTCCACTTTTAGAAAATATAAACAATCCCCTTTGTATTAAAGCCATGTCTTTAATGTTGTTTACTAATAACCAAACTAAAACACTGTATTTAAAGAAAGAAGCTGCAAAGATTATTAAATATAATCTGAGATTTAACTAAATGCACTGTAATCAAATGGTATGAGGCCATAATACAAAACTTTATATTAGCAGTTTTTTTTCTCAGAGAGCTATAGGTTAGGAAAGAGTAATGTATCATTAGTCTTTGAGACTATTTTGCAATTGAAAATGCTACTTAAAACTTCCAGAGAGGATGTGCCTTTCATATAAAAACATGAAAATTAGTTCTGGGCCATGAATGTGAAACCACTTCCAACAAGAAAGGAAAAAAAAAAAAAAAAAAAAACAAAAGAGAAATCCCAAGCAACCTGCTTTACAATCAAGGCTAGTCCTAACAAAGGAAAACCTAGTATAATAAATACTAAAAGGCTCATCATAAATTTATTTTCTATACTTCAGGGTGTTCTCAGTTCAGATTATGTATATATGCAGATGGTAAATAATAAAGCATTTCTTAATTTAAGAAAAATACAATCTAGTTGACTTAAACAGTAATCAAGGGAGTCAACTACACATACAGAAGAGATTACAGCAGCCAAAACTGAAATTAAACCAACTGCAGGTACACCAGCTAAGGGTTAGAATACACAGATGGAAAATGAAGGACATACAAGGAAAATCCATCCAGGGCAGCAAAATAATGAACCAGCAGCAGAAAAATTCAAACCACCAGACCAGCAGGATGGCATACTTTGAATTACACTGTAACACAGGAAAAAGAACTAAGAACTGAAGACTCTGAGATACAACTAAAGACTGTTACCAGAGACAGTGGTAAAGTAGTGCTAGGATGAAAGCAGGGAAATCTCAAGTGGCTCAGGGTGGATGAAGCTGATGCAGTGTAATTGAGCTGACAGGGAAGCAAGAGAAGGCACTGACACCTGTGCTGATGCACTGTAAGAACAGTGCTGTTACAATGAAGGCAGGGTCACTACAGCAAATTGTATTTGTAAATGATAATTAATACAGGGCATTACAGGAGGGACAGACTAAATGGCAATTAATTTTGCTGAAAAATCAGATGGAACAACCAGTTGCTATCTTTACAGACAACTCAATAATGGCTTCAAAACAAGGAAAGGGAGAGATTTTGTGCCTAGAAGCAAGATCAACACTGAAACTACTGAAGAGCAAGATACAAAAGCTTGAAACAGAACATAGAATCAGAGGGAAAATTAGACTTTGCAAAGAATTAATGGGTTCATCAAATATTGGCCTTCAAACATATTTTGTATTCCAACTACATTATGAAACAAGTCTGATGAAGTATATAGGGACCAAGCTAAACAAAGTCTCACTGCTAGAAAACACTATAAACACTATGCAAAAGATGTATGGATCTGAGAGCAACAGCCTCCAGCTGTTGAAATGAAAATACATTGTAGAAATACATTCTAGCACTTCAGTCAAGTGAGAGGCAGAAGTCCAGGAAAAGGCAGCAACAACAGTCCTGTAGCAGAAGAATAGAAGGAAATGCAGGTGATGTGCATAAAAATCCAGTGTGCTCCTGGATGTAGATGACACAAGAGAACACCAAGATGGAACAAGGGAATCTCTAGCTAGTGCTGGCTCACAGGCAGGGTGAGGAGGGCAGAGTGATATGATGTGACTGCAGGACCAAATGCAGGCAAGCGTGGGATCCATTTGTCACACAGCCACAGTGCCATCTGTGCACGCAGCCAGTTCAGCACTGCTCCACACACAGCCTGGAGAATCCTCCAGCATACCATCTCTAATTCCCAGTGTATCTCTTACTTAGGGTGCCTCAGCATTAGCAGAAAACATTCTTTGCATTTAGGTAACGTGATAATAAATGCAGGTTGTTCCCAAAAGATTTCTATTTGGACTTGAGGATTAAGAGGATTTTCTGTATCTGTCCAGAAATACCAACATTTGCCTGGGTATTTCTATCCAGGAAGTCTTGGCAAGGTATTAGATTGATCAACACACAAGACTCCAATCAAAGCAGACACTCAAAAGATTTTGTAGGCAAAAGTTCAAGGTGTATTTTACAATACTTGAAAAGAAAACTGTAACAAACATACACAGAAATGTATCAAGAGAAGGTGGACCTATCCCCAGGTGAAGCTCAGCTTAAACTGAGGAACCACTTGATTAGGCTACTCTCTAAGTAAGATGCATTACTTCCTAAGCATGCACCTTTCTCTAGGGATCAGATCTGACCTTCTGGGTCAACTTTAGACAGAAGCACTTTAAATTATTGACTCACATCTTCTACCTGATGGATTATGTATTTTGTTTATCAAAAAAGTTGTGGACAAGCTTGTGCTGCAATTGGTAGTATAACCAGCAAATCCTTGGAACTCACTTACTGAACATTCCAACATTACAGAACAGTTGGTTTTACAGAGCTCAACAAGAAAAATTCAGCATTAGCATGAAGGTGCACAATTTATTCTTGTTTAGAAACCCAACATAATTTTTTCCATTAAAATTTTGTTGGAGTAAAGATATAACCTTTCTGCAGCTATACTCAGTTACTGAAAATTTTCTGATTTTTTTCAGGTCTTGAAGTTGTACTTGTAAGTTATCTGTTATCCCAAACTTAGCTTTAACACAGATATCTGGTCTATCTTAATGCTATCAAATCTGAAAAGGTCATGTAAGTTTGAAATCAATTAAGTACTGGAAATGGAAAAAAATACATATACTTCCATTAGTACCATAAACATAACTAGAGACCAATGGTTTGTTATTAACTATCATTTATAAGACATTCCTTCTGAAGGTATTCCCAATTAATGAAGTTAATGTTCTGTCATGACAATGCAAAATAAAATAAATACAAGGCACCTAGGAAAGGCAGGATACCAATAGTTCCATACTAAAAGCTGAAGAATTTAGTAAACTCAAAAGAAGTAGTTTCAGATCTGCAACAACGGCATTCTTTTTTGTCCAGGGACACTTCTGCAGTGCTCAGCAGAGAATGCAGCTCCTCTAAAGAGCGTGACAGGAGCTGAATACATTGAGCAGCTGTAATCATGTATCCACTGTGTGTGAAAACAACAGCAAGGGCCCACTGAAGCAACACAGAAATCAGGAAATTGAGTTAAGGCTGAAACTGTATCCTTAACTCACCTCATGGTGCCTATGTATCCTAGCTCAAAGGGTATGTAAGATCATCCAGAGTTCTCTGGCCTCAACTAGAGGACCAAACCATACCTAGGCATAACAGGGAGGCCAAATTTAACATGAGTGCACATAAAAGTGACCATTAAAAAACACCCCTTTAATATGCATGCATACAAGACAGACTTCAAAATTCAACCCCCCAACAGTCATGATATAACTTGGAGCAAGATCTAGTTACTATTTGGAATTCAACCACAACATCACTATGGAAGTGGAAATGAGAAAAATGGGAGCATGCACAAGCTTCTTACCAAAACTGTGTTTCCTAGTTCAATTTTAAAGATGTTTTACTAGACAGTTTGAGAGCTGTAGCCTTTTACCTCTAAATAAAGCTCCCCACAATGAAACAATTTTTAAGACTGAACACGTAATAGAGTTGAACAGAAACAAAATTTATCTCCTCTACTCAACTCTTGATATATTAACAGTAACCTTGTTGTGCTCACACAACAAGGATTCAGGAAGACACTTGAAAACATGCCTGCAGTAAAACCAATTGTACCAAATGTCTTTAGATGGGAACATTTAAAAGAAGAAAATGTGTGATAAAAGAAAGAGAGGCAAAGACTTGAGATTTTTCAGGCTCCAGTGTCATGACAGTTTTGAAGATCCTGATCAACAGATCAATAACCTTAAATGTCATAAAAACTGCCCTAACCAATCTATTTGTTCTGGGGTTTCAGCCTACAAATGAATATAGTGTAATTTTACATGATCCCTTTTGTAATGAAGAAAAAAGTCTTCTGGAAAGACCCTCAAAGCAAGCATAAAATTTGGCTTAAAACATACAGAGGAAATCAAAAATACACATGAACCCAGTTGCACGACGGCTGGGAGGACTTGCTCTTTCACAATACAAATACTCAATACTAATACTCATCTTGCTTTGTGCTCCTGGGTGACTCAGAAGGATCCAGACTGTGGTTTAGAGAAGTGCAGTAACTTCAGCACTATCATAAAGAAACCCCTGCTCTCTCACTTACCTGTTACCAGTTTTGTCCTACAGACTTGCTGAACAGACACATCTCAGTACAGCAGAGAGCAGCCCAGATACTGTGCACAGGAAACTGCTGGGGATGAGCGTCACTGGCTCACAGGATTTCACTGCACCCTGCTCTCATCAGCAGCAAATCATAAAATCAGACACTTGCTCAATAAAACTCTAAGTCCTCAAAACATTGCTTGTCAAGTTGGATCTCTAACCCAGACTAATTTTCTTCAGTGTGAAAGTCACCAGAGCTAAACTGGTATTAAACAGATTCCTCCAAAATATCCAAAGCAGTTTCTTTCTGTTGACTTTTAATAACAATTTCTCTGTACCTATTTCTACTTGTTCAGTCACAATAGCTCAGTCTAGGCAAACTGAACTGATATGAAACACAAACATATAAATGCTTTCAAGGAATGTTTTAATTTTGCAAAGCCACTACACTTGATTGACAGATAACAGTAAAAAATGAAAAGATACTACTTCTAAACTTTTTGCAAATGACTTTTGAAACATCTATTCCATGCCATCTAGTGGCCAGTACCAGGCAGTACTATTGTACGAGTCAAAATTTCTAGAAATAGCTTTCCATGCTAAAATTAAGAGTCACTCCAGTACTCCTATTTAAAGGCAGCAGGTAAAAGAGAGAGACAATTAAAAAGGAGGTTTCAGCTTAAGAGCACATTAAAATATGAATGTTTCAAAGTAAAACTATAAAATAAACAAGACCTTTCATTGTTAGCCTTTAATTTTGTGGGGCTTGTTATCAAATCTAACATTATCCTAATTTTGTGATATACATTCTGCAATCTCGTCGTAAAGCTCAAGAAAGTTCCTCTTAGCTATTGCTTTAAACAGTGTCAAGCTTCAAAAAAGGGAAGGGGGTGGAAAAGGCAAAAAGAAGTGGAGCAAGCATTCAAATGCTTTGAAACTTTTCAGCATTCACAAGAACAGCAATTCTAGGACAACCTCAGCTACTCACAGGACTCAAGATGAAATCCCTTGAGTGAGGGACGATTTACCTTCACTTTAAAAAAAAACAAAACAGCATCCTCCAAAGAAATCCCTCTCTAGATTCCAATCAGAGTAATTTCCTCCCGCCATGTAACTACCTTTTGAAAGTTACATCAAGGATTTTCTCTGAGTTCTTTGTCTCACGGCTGTTCTTTAGCTACAGCCCATGGCTACTAACAGTATGTTTGGTTAGGTAGAAATCACAACCTAAACCAGTCTCTATGAGAGCTACCAAACTATAAAGACAATTAGCAAACTGCTACTGATCTCTGCATCATAAAAACAGTGGGCAGTGCTTGGCAGGACTCAAGAGCTACAGCAGGGGAAGAATGAAGAGAAGCAGCATTGAAAAAGCTGATCCACAACAGCATGATTATAAAAAGAACAAAACAGAAGTGCAGATACAGAGTGGCCAGGATGGCTACTTGCATTATTTTCCACATTTCTATACTTTTACCTAGAAGTGTGAAAAGATTTTTTCATATCCTGAAATTTACATTCAAAATTTGCATTTGTGGTGGGAAATAAGAAAAAACCCAACCAAAAAAAAAGCCCCCCAAACCTCCCAAGAACTAGACCATATAACAGTCTTCACAGAAATCCTAATAATTTGCCCTTTGATGTCAATGTTTTGTAATAAATACCCATATTAAATGCTCCTGCTTTCACTCTGGTCACTTTCTCTTGCTTTTCTTTCTTGCAAAAGATGCAGCAGTCTGTTAACTCTAAGAAAAATATCAGTACTACTTTATATTTAATAAAACACAATGGACTACATCAGCTACACCAATTTCCCAGTGATTTCTAATTTAAATTCACCTTTCTGATTTGAATACTTAAAACTTGCATGCCAAAACGGTCTGCAAACCCTTGAAGGAAAGCGCTATCCTACATAATACTGCCCCAGCTTCAGAGCATTTGAGAAAAATAAGAAACAAAAACAGGACCAAAATAGACTTCTTCCAACAAGTTGTTGAAAGTGGTTTCAAAAGAAGTAATGTGCTCATCCTGCTGAGAACATTTACCAAGTCACTTCTGCACAGAAGACTGAGTTACTTTATGGGTGAGGGCTGACAAATAAATAAGAGCTTTATTCTTCCATAGTTGCAATTCTTGTCTGACTTGACAGATCAAACTGATTTGCTTTGGCAATACACAGCTCCTACTCTCAGAATTTGTTGAAGCTATTTTACCTTGCAAAACACTGATTTCTGTGTACATATTAAGAAAAAAAATAGCTTTGTTTTAAAATTAAAAGCTCTGTTTCATTATATAGCTAAAACAATTACTGGATTTCTCATACCTGCTTAGCAAAAAATATTGTATCCAGTCTGGAATCCTGGACAACAGAACCTGCTGGCTCCTCTCCAGGCTGCCACTTGAAGAGAAAAATCAGCCCATGTACTGGCCTGAAAAACAAAATTTATAGTAAAAAGGTCACAAGTACTGATAAAAAATATTAAAATTCTCTGTACTGTAGTTTAGCTGTATGCTGGTATGGTTAATTCTGCTAATTCTTTCTAAATACCAGGAACTTACACTGAAATTTTCATATGTGCTCTTTTAATTAGGCAGAAGACAATTTGGGCTTCTTTCTGTGCTAAACAATCCCAATCTGAATTAGCATTTAGCAACTAATTTTCAAAAGTCAGGACCAGTTTTCCTGGTTAGTGCACCTTTTGTAGTTGCAGAACTCTCATTTGAATTGGTTAGTGATAAACAGCTATCAAAGCATTTGTCAGTCATATACAAGAACAGGAACAAAAGGGTTGGTAATCCTTCTAGACACAAATAAAATGCCCAAAGAGGAGCTCTCCCAAAACTTCATGCTTGGAGTTAGCTCACCAAAAGTAAGAGAAACCCAGTTGTCTCTTCTAGTAAAAGCATGTCTTGCCTTTTGGACTGCATGTCTCGAATAGTAAACAGCTTTTACTACATGTTGCACTGTATTTAGTATTTCCAGAATACAAAAATTTATCAATAAAGGAAATAGGTCTTACAAAATCTTCAGTTACTGTAAGACAAAAACTTATTCATCAACTTAAATCTAAGGTCATCACCAAAAAGAGGCCACAAATGGTTTCTCTATAAAAGACAAACATACACCTGTACTGCACAAAAAACTTTTCCTAAGCTCTGACCAGAAATCTAAGATGCACTTTTTAACAATCTCTCAGTGGACCTGTGTTACAGCACATGCTGCAGTTGAGACAGCCACAGTACACAGAGTATCACCATACAATATCAGAAAGCTTCAACCCACACAGAGTGACACCAAGTCACTTCAGAAGGCTACAAGCATCCACCCTTCTTGTCCTTCAGCCCAGCCTTTTATCCCCTCACGCTGATGCAGTGCCCCTGTGTGCCCTCTGCTCCCCTTGGTGGTTGCTCAGTGCCCCTGGGCACTCCATGGCTCATTGCTGTCAGTGCTGCTCACCTGCTGCTCACAGCTGCACCCACTGGGGATGAGGCTGGGCCAGCCCCACTCACAGTCACCACACACTGTGTGCCTACAGAACTGCTGTTTAGAAAACAAACATGCTTCTATATTCTTTCACTCCCAGTGTTTATACATTGTGTAAAATATTGCAGGTGTAAATGGGAAGGGAGGATGGAAGCTGGCCATCCCTCAGGACTAGAAAAACACACATCTCCCAGGATATGCAAAGCTGTCACTTAATGAACAAACAGGTGAATATTCTGATGGTGCAGACAGCAAATAAACCAATTCATAGGCAACATTTCTGCCATTCAAGTGTTGCTGGTCAAATATCTTCAGTCAAAAATTCTAGAAGTACATCCTTTCTACCAATTCCTGCACCTTTTGAAAAATTAATCCTACAAGTATGGGATATTTGCACAAGATACAAGAGTATGGTCCAGGTTAAATGATATTTTTGTATTAAAATCCTGTATGTAAACATGGGTAACAGTATATTTACATATGGGCATCATGAACAAAACGTTAAAAGAATTAATGTTGCTTAGTGAGGGCAAAATTGTTCCACATGACACCAGTCATTATCAGTTATAAAAAGCCTATTTGCCTTCACATCTATATGGAAAAATGAGTTACAAAGGTATCTAAATACTGGAAAATAATTTAAGACAACAGAGACAACATCATGGGATGTGAGGAGGGAGGGAGATAAAGCAAGGAACAGAAATTCGCCTAAGAATTTGTTAAGAGCTGTAAGGCAAGCTAATGGAAAAATCATTAGAAATCTACTTCCACATTCTAGCTACTATTAGCACTTCTTTCAAAACCTGATTAAACTAGATTAAGTACCAACACATTAATGAAAATCAATTTAACTGCCAGGTATTCCATTAAATCAAAATCATACTGAACTTCTCTAGAAACTGAAGGAAAAAACACAAACACAAAATGCCCCAAACATAAGGTCCACCAAAACCACACCTGAGTTTAGTACACATTCTTTCGGGGACTTCAGACAAACGTGAATAAAAAACATGTGCCTTACTTCAATTTTTCAAAGTTCTCTGGCTCCAAACTCCATATTTCTTCAACTTGTGCTCCTCTACAGCCTGAAATAAGGAAAAAATAAAGGTTTCTTCAACTAACTCATTTAAAAAGGGATGCAGCCAGCAAAGTCAGACTTATGAAAGAAAACACAAAGACATTATGTAATATTTACAAGTAGAATATGCAGGCTATGGAAAAGTCTATCTGTGGGCTTTAAGAGACCTTGATTAAAGAAACCCAAACAAGACAGGCAGAGAAAAATTATTTCAGGCATTTCTGAACCTGTGTACAGTGATACTGTCTTTACAACAGAGTTGCACAAGAAGCAGAGGAGCTTAAGTATCTCTGATCACTTCATGTCCCTCACTTAAGTGTGAACAATACTGTTTATAAAGGCATTATCAGCAAGCCCAAAGCAGAACTTTAAACATCTGTCTCCAGACAAAGACCTACGGTAGTAGATCAAAAATGCTGTACACTCAAGCAAGACATGTGCATAGTACACAGCCCAAAAGGTTCAAATATTTAGTATGTGGAAGTTTCATCTATGAGCTAAATAAAAACGTAAAAGAAGCATGTCTGGACTTTGTTTCTGAGAAAAAGACATGACAAACTATGAATCAGTGAAACACAGAGTAAAATAATTTTGGTTCTTTGGCTGAGAATAACCTGGCTGCTGTAATAACCATATATTCACAGTTTCACCAAAGATTTTAAACGCAATTCAACAGAAAATTTAACATCCTGGAAGGCCAGGCAGCCGCTTGCAGGCTATCCAGCCACTGCCAAGCCCCACAGCTCAGCCTAGGCACACAGCCCTTTCCCCGAACGTCCGAACTACAGGAGCTCTGGAACCCGAACACCTTCCCAGCCTTAAGTCTTAACCTGCGCCAGCGAAGTTCAGATTGGACATTCGGAGGAATTATTTCAAAGGGCTGGTGAGACATTACAATGGGCTGCCCAGGGAAGTGATGGAGTCACCGCCCCCGGAGGTGTTTAAGGAAAGACTGCACATGGCACTCAGTGCCACGGTCTGGCTGACAAGGTGGTGTTGTTGGACTCGGTGATCTGAGAAGCCTTTTCCAACCTGAAGGACGCTGTGACCCTACGCGGCACGTCCGTCCCGCAGCACAGCAACAGGTGCCGGGGCGAGGGCCGGGCCGGGCCGCGCAGGCCGCGCTGGGGCCGGACCCCGCGGTGCCCGCGGCCGGCCAGGGCGGGCCGGGCCAGCGCCGCGGACATCACGGAAGCCACGCTCGCCACCGGCAGCGCGTCCCAGCGCCCTCCCGGCCCCGCAGCAACCGAGCCCCCGCATCCCCTCCCCGCCCGGCAGGACAGCGGGCTCGCACCCAGCGGTGCAGGAACAGCCCCGCGGAGCCCCCACCACCTGCCCGGCCCCGCTCGACCCTCACCGAAGCCCTTGATGAGCTCGGTGAAGACGCCCGGGTCGCTCTCCATGAGGCACCACTCGCCGGCGCTGCTGCCCCCGGACATGGCGGCGCTGCCGCCGCTCAGGCTGCGAGGCCGAGCCGCGCCGCTCCCTTCCCGGCAGGACCCGCGCCGGGCACCGCCATGGAGAGGCGGGGCGGCCGCAGGAAGCGGCGCGCGGGACTGGATCCGGGGCAGCTGCGGTCGCCGGCGGCACCGCCCCGGCCGCGGGAGGGCCGCGCCGCGCCTCGGGGATGCGCTCCGGGCCGGCTGGGGAGCACGCGGCGGCTGCGGGGCCCTCGGGCGGCGCGGCGGGGAGCGGGGCTGGCCCCGACCATGGTTCCATCCGGGCACCGCGCGGGGGGCGCGGCCCCATCCGGGTCCCGGCGATGCTGTCGGGGCGCGGCGGGCGGGGCTGGAGCGGGAGACGCGGATCTCCGGCGGCCGGAGCGGGACGGCCCTGCCCGCCCCCCGCGCGCCCGGAGCGGCCCGGCCG